CCCTTCAAGCCAATTATTCCTAACAGTGTTTGCACACTTTTATCTCAATAACATTGAAAGTATGAATAAATTATCAACTTTAGAACCCGATTTGCAGTTTACACAATTGTTTCTTGGACGACAAACTTGAAAATGACGGATGTTGTTGAAACAAAGGTAGTTCCTTTCTCGATTTCTTTGATTGTTTATTAAAGAAAACGTTTCTAGGTGCGTGCTCCCACCATGACGCCAGAGGAGTTATGCATAATAAGTGAATTTTATGCCGAGCATTACGATGTTTTTCATTCGACCTTGTCTGGGTCCAGCCGTCAGCCCAAAGTTAAGGTAAGTACTCTTAAAGGACCATCTACCTTCCATTCATAAAATGATTCCTTCTACTTTCTATTTATTGAGGAAAAGAAAGAAAAGTTACAAGAACTAAGTAAAATCTTATCAAGTTCCGGTTACCCAACACGGACCACGATGCAACTCGATCAACGTATTCGGGACACGATGAAAAAAACTAAATTTTTTGCTGCTAAAGAAGTAGGTTCAGTTGTTAGCAACTGAACATTTGTTTGAGAGTACTTACAGAGAGAAGAGAAAACAATGACGGGTGGCGGGATCCCGCCAAGGTATCCAATCCCTGCACATGTGCGCATCTTGCTCGATAAACTTGGAAACAAGCCTCGTGTCAAAGGTTTATCATTCGGTAAAGAAGTATGTGGTGTTGAAAACGAGAGTAATGTGAATGTAAGCAGAACAACATATTTACACTTCTTATAGTGCTTGGTTTACAGCAATCCTTGCCAACGAAACGCCGTGCAGAGGAGGACACAGATCCCTATGTGACCGACAATGATGAAGACTTAGAATTGAACGATAGCTTGTAAGTGAGATTTGAAAATTACAGGTTTGCATATCATACTATTTCAGTCATTCTGATAAGCTGACATTGAAAAAGGTCAAGTCTGAGCCGCATTACATTAGTCGCAATTTCGAAGATCAGCAATATCGGTACTTGTGCATTTTACATATACTGTTGTATCTTCGATTTATCTTGTTTAGAGAAACAGACACAAAACTTCAGTCTATCGTCAGACAAAAGGAAAACGTCCCTGAGCCGCATTACATTAGCCGCAAGGTCGAAGATCAGCCATATCGGTACTAGTGCATTTTGCATATACTGTTGTATGTTCGATTTATCTTGTTTAGAGAAACAGGCACGAAACTTCAATGTATCATCAAACAAAAGGAAAACTTTCGTGTTGGAGATTTGCAATACTACGGAAAGTTGAGTACTCAATATCAACCCGCTGAACATCATCTAGGTCGGGATCGA